CAAATGTTCAATTCCCACCACGAACTAAATTAAAGACTAATTAACCATACTTACCTGCTAAATTGTTCAATTAACTTTTTTTTGCAGGTTGCTAACAAGTTACCAATTCAATTATTAAACAAATAATTAAAAATAATTTAAAAATTAAAAAAAAAAAACCAAAAAAACAAAAGAAAATGGAATTTCAGCCACTGCTGTCCTAGTTAGCGAGATAATCCGATCTTGCGTGAGAAGCAAACGGTTTTAGTCATATCCCGGGTTGATATCAGATTCCGATGTCGGAAGATGACAACGGGCCGCGGCGAGATCATCAAGAAGCTGGAAGACACCACCAGGGACGCTGCCAGACAACAGTCGGAGACTCTCCGATACATTCTCCAACGCAATGGTGGCTTAAGTTATCTCCGGCGCTATCTAGGCAGCTACAATGGTTCGGTCGATGCCGATACTTTTCGGACAGCTGTGTCGTTGTCGCGCTACGAAGACTACACTGATTACATCAACAAAATGGCCGACGGCGTCCTCACCGACAAAAATTACGGTGGCCGGCCCCTCCTCTCCGTTGACCCTCTCACCTGCTTTTTCTATAGGTAATACGGAGTAATAAATTAGGCTCATCACTTTGAAACACAAGTATTAGCAGTAGTTTTGAGGTTTAATATTTTCAATTTTTGCAGCTCGGGGACAAGTTCAATGAAACCAAAGTTAATTCCCTATTTTGATTCAAAGCATGCAAAAGAGACATCAACCATGGCTCATCAAGTCAGTTTTGCAAATGTAGGCAGGTATTATCAGTTTCTTTGACAATGTCTTCCAACCAATGAGTTTTATGCTTAACCTTAAACGCAAAGAACACCGCAGGTTGTTTTCCCCCACGCCATCCGTGAATAAAGCGCTGTGGTTTCTCTATGCTGGTAATGTTGCAGAGACTAAAGGTGGATATTTTTAATTTTTAAATTTTTTTTAAATTATTTTTTTAATAATTGAATTGATAACCTGTTAGCAACTTGCAAAAAAAGTCAATTAAACAAATTTAGCAAGTAAGTATGACACTTCTCCCTTATAATAATTGCCAATCGTTATAGTATTTTACTAATCAATCATTTTTAATACTAATCACTCTAATCAACTGCTAATCACATTATTTTTTTTTTTTAAATGCTCTCTGCCGACAACACTTATTTCTTTTTTCTGCTGAAATCAAAACAAAACAATCATTTTGTAGATTGTAAGAATTGAATCCGAAACCTCAAAATTAACATACAAGTCTCAAACTACAACACCAATTCATCTCTTGAGTTATCTCTTATCAAATTATATATATATATATATATATATATATATATATACGAAAAACAATACAAGGCTTTGAAAATAAATTGTATATGTATATACTATACCCGAAATTATCTTTTAGGCATAACAAATTAATTTTTATAAGAATAATTTTCAAAAATTCTTTTGGCAACATACAAAAAATATTTTAAGGGTGAACTTAATAATATTTTCCCAAAAATATTTTTACTCAAAATTACCGGGTGTTACACTCTACCCCCTTAAAGGATGTTTCGTCCCCGAAACATAAAGTTAGACTTCAACTTAGATTTTCTATATCTCTAAAATTCCATAACTTAGATTTTCTATATCCCAAAGGTTCGTACCGCTCTGATACCAATTTGTAACACCCCAAATTTTATAACAAAATTTTCCTTAATTTTAATACTTCTTCTCAATTGAAAGTTCAATAATACTCTAGCGGAAGCATTAACTAACCAAAATTACCGGGTGTCACAACTTTACTTCGGTCGTATACCCTTACATGTCGAGCATCCACAAATTCATTCAGACAGTTATACCACTCTTCATCCTCATGAGATCGTTCAAGCTTTGGTTGGATGAAGGCGGTATCTCCTTCCTTTGCTCCTTCTTTGTGGCTTGGAATAGCCTTTTCTTTCTCACCAGCGCACACACCATCATCTCCACTTTCCTTTTCTTGCTCTTCTTCCTCAGGCAATCGCTCTTCCCCGGGTATTGTGAAATTCCCCCCCATGAATGATCTGTTAATCTTTATAAACTTCGTCAAGTCCTTCATATATTGTGTCACTTGCTCTGGACATTCGAAAGGTATGCTGAAGTACCATTGTTTCAACGCTTGGGAGAACATGTTCCTCGATGTACATTCTTTCATGCCCTTTTGATATTGAAGGAATTGGGGTCGAGGTTCAGATGTGGGTTTATTAAGTTGCACCTCGTGTAACACCCCAGATTTTTAAGACTTTTTAAAGCTGATAATAAAGGTAGAATCTTATTAAATCCCAGAATATAATACAAGTGTTCGGGGTGCTATGCCACACCTAGGCTAGAGAACCCAGATGCACAGGCTAACTAACTAATATCCTCAAAAGCATAAATGTATAAACATGGCACGCAGGCCGAAAGGGAAACTATCTATTTCTACACTCCGAGTTCTAGCGCACTCCAGTGACTTAATCTTCTGTGCCTGAAAGCCAAATATATCTGTTCAGTGAGAGATGCTGGTAACCCACTCCAACGCGTTGAAATACAATACATATAGAGATATATATAGATATACGAAAACCATTTTGAAGCATGAAGATATATCCTACGAGACTCTAGCTTTTAAAACCGGGAATGACTCGACAGATAAGGCTAGACACAAGCAAAAGTTATAACAAGCGTATACAATCCACAACAGGTAAGACAGATAAAGCTGAGCATAATTAATAATCATAACCCAACATAAACAATCCCCAGCATAAATCCCTTAGTCACATCCCCCAATATACTCATAAACACAACTCCTCCATATCTCATCACATAGCACACTTTGTTGGCGCCACAGGACCAATCGCATGCCCATACATGAGGGTCAGCGCATATAGCTCTGACACGGCCCCGCAGCACCCTGCCCCGTCTCACATTACGGAGGAGCCGATCGCAACCGACTGATGGACCTTTGTCCTACATAATATTTATATACCTGACCGGTCTTTACCAGCCTGGTTAACAATTGGGATGGTTCTCAGCCCATTCAACTGCCCGTATAGTGGACCTTTGTCTTATATAATATTTATATACCTGACCGGTCTCTACCAGCCTGGTTAACAGCCGGTATGGTTCTCAGCCCATCCGACTGCCCGTATAGTGGAACTTACCCTATATAATATTTATATACCTGACTGGTCTCTACCAGCCTGGTTAACAGCCGGTATGGTTCTCAGCCCACCCGACTGCCCGTATAGCCCGATTGATCTTAACCAACTCGGGGTTACATGCACACATAACACATAGCAAGTACATGCAACCCACATTAACACATTGGGAAGGGGGGAGAAAACGTATAACAAAACCTATGCGTGATCCATCACATACTAAGAATAGTCCTAAGGGGTTCATACTTCTTCCACCTAAGTCAAGGGATACCAATTCAACTAGCATGCAATATAATAGACTCATAAACCTACGAACGGTACCCGAAATATCAAACTAGACATAGGCACGATAAACGGAGTCCGTTGGGACACCACGGGGGACGGGGAAACATCAAACAGGGAAGCCGGGACCCCAAGATGGGGAAAATTCCAGCGGGTAGCCGGTGGGTGGGGGGCCACCCGCCGGATTCACTATTCCGGGCAGCGGGTCGCCGGCGGGCAGCTGCCCGCTGCCGGGATCACTATTCCGGCCATGGGTAGGTGGCGGGTCCCCTACCCCCCACTGACTCTTATCACACAATTTCGCCCCGGGAACCATTGTGGAACCCGAAACCATGCTTAGACACTTTACAACGCAATCAACGACAACACGTAGACAATTAACGGATCAAATACGAGAAACGAACGACACATAACCTATCATGCTTTTCTAAACATAATCAACACCCAAGCATGCGATTACCCCACCCGATAATCCAAGAATAATATCATACGATACAACTTAGGGTTCTAATCACTTTTATATCAACAAGAATACGATTCGCCTTCTAATTGCAAGATTCGGTAAGAATAACACATAAGCATCAAGGGCATCACACAATTATCAAGAACAACACATAATCATCAAGAACTCCATATAATCATCAAGAACATCATAATTATCAAGAATCTCCCAATATCAAGATTATCAAGATCCCCCATGGGATCATCACATCAATCATCAATAATAATCATCACAAGTCATTAATACACAATAATATGGGGAAACCCTAAGGGGGAATCATAACTATGAAAATAGGTTTTGTTGAGACATGGGTTACCTCTTAGCCTTAATTAATTCCTTGGCTATAAAGGATCTTTCTTTAAGCTTTCTTGCTTTCTTGATTTCTCCTAGGGGAATTCTTGGAACTCTTTGGATGGTGAGAGATTATTGTGGTGGGAATTCTAGGTGCCTCCTAAGTTCCCTATTTAAATATTTAAGACTCTTAATTAGGGCCCGAATGGTATGGGTTTACTAATTCTATTCCTTATAGGACTAGGGACTTGTTTTAGGGATAAGGGTCCATGGTCCACATTGGACCATATTAATTAAAGCGGATCCTAATCATAATTTGGATAGTAAAAGGCCTACTTCCTTTATTCCTAATAGATAACTAGGTCTAGGATTCCTAATTAGGATCTGAATAGTAAAAGGTTTACTTTCTTTATTCCTAATAGGCTTAAGCCTCTAATTTAGGCAAGGGTCCACGGTTCATGGTGGACCCTATTAATTAATTAAAGGGAAACTTAACATAATTAAATCATATTTAATTATTATTAGCGGGATTAATTAAATAATTAATCCAGGATTGAAGGCCGTAACACGGGGTGTTACACCTCGGCTTGAGTTCCAACCATTTTGACCTCATCAGTTTGTGATACATCTTCCACTTCATTATCTGAACTGGCCTCATGAATGGTCATCAGACCAATGGGAAAATTCTCGTTTCCAACGCAACGGCTTGCGCCTCCACTTGATTCCTCCGTGTGACTTCTTCGATAAGATTGGCTAGTGTAGCTTCCATCCTTTTAAATGGTTCAAGAGTTTCTTCTCAAAAGGTAGCCAATTCTTCCTTCATTTCTTTTCTAATAGAATTTCCAAGGTCTTCCCTATCTTGCTTAGCTTCGTGTATCAACCCGTCAATTCTTCTATCGAAGCCAGCATATTCTTCTTGATTCACAAACGATGCTTGCATGACAAATCTTGGTTCATGGCAACCATAATCATTTGGTGGGCTATAGCCTTGGTATTCATATAAGTATGAAGGTGGTGGAGTGTATTGATAATTTTGGTAATAGGGGTCATTGGGAAAATTACTTTGGGAATATGTTTGAGAAGGTGGTGGGGTGTATTGATGTGAAAGGTGTATGTTGTAAGCTTGGTAAGAGTAATGGGAAGGATACCAAAAGTTGTTATATTGAGAGTTCATCGTTTCAAGTCTCCTGAAATCACAAGATTGGGAAAAGCTTTTGGTGGACACAAGATAAACAAGTGAGATTAAAACAATAAAACAAAATAAAACTTAACTCAAGATTCAAAACATCAAATTTCCTTACTATAATTCAAACTCAACAAGACAACTGTTTACCACTCCCTGGCAACAATGCCATTTTGACTCCAGCACGCTTATAGGTTTACGGTTCTTATTTTAGATAGCGTTGTCAAAAGATTCAATGAGCATATTCATGTCCCAAAGCCAAATGATTCAAAGCCAAATCATGGGTTCAAGTCCCAAAAAGAGTAAAAATTGTGTAATTAAGACTGGCAAATAGAAGGGAAAATTGTTAGACATGCAGGTAAAGGGCCAAGTCCAGCAATTTGTGGCTAAAACGTTGTTGGGCAAAGGCTAGTGAAAAGTCAAGGTCAACACCCTGTCTCTCGAAAATGTGACAGTATAAAATAAAATTGTGCCTGTGAACTATAGTTTTTAACGTAATGATAAGTGGTTGATCCTAATGAGTGGTATGATAAAGCATTTATTAAAACAAAGTTTTATATTTTGATTTGCATCATACTTTGAACACATGCAACACACATATTTTACTAGTGCGAGTAATAATAATTAGTATGTAAATGTCTTATATCAACAAGAAAAATTTGAAACTCTTTCCTAGAGAAATCTAAGACACGTATCGAATTTGAATTGCTCTTCATTTGCAACGAAGAAGTGGTCAAAATCACTAGCATAAGGCGTATCAATTTTAAAAAATAAAATAAATAAAATAAAAACAAAGTAAAATAGAATACGCAAGACAGAACTGGAGAAGGACGTTATGTTGTTGCATGTTTAGACTAACTGGGAGTAAAGAATCTTTGATTCAAATGGGAAAGATGCAACTAATATATGTGTTCAATACAAAAGACTTGAGTAAAAATGAAAAAGAAAACAATTGGAAATATACAACTGAATAGGCTCAAAGTTACTGTAATAACCAAGAATACTAAATAGGTTAGAGATATATTAAATAAAACTAGGCATGAAGCGCTCTAGGAATATGTGGTAGGTAAGCTGAGCCCCTACAAAAATGCCTCCAACAAAGTGTACAATCAACGACTTTGTATACCCACGCTCCCTGAAATTCTTCCAAAGTATTTGACATCACATCACAATGTAATTCCCAAAGAAAATTTTAGTAGTGTTAATTAATGTTTTGATAATTTCTTGATTTTCAAACAACTAGGAAAAAAAAAAGTACCATGAGATTTTTGATTCAAAAATTGGTCATGAAGACAATGGGAAAACTTTAACAAAATAATTCACAATTTTCGACCATCAACGACTTATGTATAAGCGGCATAGTCAATTAGTTTACGGACCGCAAATCAATTTTGATTTTTGACTCGACATCCAAAACTCACTCAGAAATTCCATGACCAATAGCAACGACGATCAAAGACAACAGAACTACAGAAGCTACAAGAAAGAAAGAATGATTGAGTAATATAAGGGAATGTTAGAATTTACATGTGAGTACAAATCAGATGAATTGAACTATCAACTATGGCTTTGGGGGCTAGAAGACAAAAGAAATTATAGGTAGGAAATAAAGAAAGTGGTGAGATTGATAAGGAGAAGAATAAGTTGGTAGGTTGCAGTGGTACAGTCTTACAGACATGGCATTGATGGTTGGGTATAGAAGTCAAGTGTACGTACAAAGTGGTTTCTATAACCCTAGTAATAATTTCCCATTCCGATCGATCTGGTAGCCCGTCGATCTTGAGAATGGATGCATGCTAAGTTACTTGGAAGATATGATGACCAGTTGGCTTTATCTTGTTAATACATAATTTTCTTTTGCACACAAAATGGCAGAATGTTTTTAGTTTAAGGTGTTCATTACATTTTGTTTAGTATGAGAACTCATAAGTCCAGTAGGAAATATGGTGCCAAAAGTATGTGAATATCCAAATTGTGAAGTGCAAAAAGAGTGTTATTTTAATAAAATTCTGAAATGCCCTTATACAAACATCAATTTACAACAAATGGGAACATATTTAAGTGGACTA